TAGTTTACCACAGCTTAGTAGTTATGTCGAAGAGTTGGCTAGTAAACTTTCAAATGGCAAGACAAAAGAGCAGGCCCGAAAAGCCAGAGATCAGGCCAAAAGACGCTTTCAAGAATTGGGATTAAGTAAGGAGCAAGCTAATACTCTTATTCCTATTCGAGCTCCTGGGAGACATGTTGATGAAAGAGATCCCATTAAAATTATTGCCCAAGATATTATAAAAAATAATCTCTCATCTGAAGAAATAAATAGAATAGCATATAACTTGGCTTCTTCTACTCCCACTACTGTTGCAGGAAATTTTTGTCTTAATTTATTATGAAAGAAATTGCGTAGCTTAGGAGCTGATTATCTTATCATTGAGGCAACAAAAATATTCTTTATTACTGAAGAAGCAAATCAGATTTAAGCAATAAAGCGTATACTTTGTGGAATTAATGGTTATGATTGTTCTGAGTTCTTTTACCTGAAAAAGGTTCAGGAAAGACTTAGCGAATGTGATATTACCAAGCCTCCTTCAATGCATAATCTAATAGACATAATGATAATGCTATATATGCGATCAGCAGATGTGAAAAATCTTCGTATCAACTGATACAAACCAAGTCGCGAGTCATGGTATAATCCTGACTATTCTTGGTACTGTATTGGTTATCCAAAAAATAAAGGTGAGGTAGAAGAACCCCGGCCATTCCTTTCAATAGGAAAAAATCCAATACGAGCAAGAGAATTACTTATCTGGATTCAGAGATCAATACTGGATAAATTTCTTTTCTTGTTAAAAAATAAGGATGGAAATACTAATATTGCACCTCTTAATCAATTCTTAAGTCGCCATAGAATTACCTCATATATGTTAAGAAAAATAGGTGCCGATCATGCTTCCAGAGTACATGGAGGTAGAAATGATTCCTGCCGTCAATATTTACGACAATTGGCATGTAGACATAAAATAGGTCATGCTTTATCAGTTGAACATTATGGTGTAATGAATGACAGACCAAATACCCCAGCATCTAAACAAGAAAATAGTGAGGTAGAGGATATCATTGACCTATATAATTACTAATTGTTTTTATCTCATTCAGAGTTGGACCCAGACTTAGATGAGGATGAAGATTCAGACAAGAACTCAGATGCGGTATCGTTAAAAATTGTTTTTTTTCTTTTAGCCTCAAATAGTGTACAATTTCTCCGAGAAATATCTGGGTTTGCTATCGAGTTTATAATATCCTGCTGAATCTCAAGTTTCACTATCTCTAGTAATTGGCAGAGAGAAATCTGGATTTTTTTACCCGATACTTGCTTAATAATATCAGATACCACTTTATAGGTAATGTTGGGTAAACTTTTATCTTTTTCGAAACCTAATTTTTTCGCAATCTTATAAGTGATAATTGGACATTCTGAACATGAATCAATCACATTCTGTTGCTTTAGTACTAATTCAATATTATTATTTTTAGTCATTGTCTATGTTAAATTATTTATTAATAAGCAATAAAAAAATACATCATTAAATATACTTAAAATGTTTGTAAATATCCTTGTCAAAGGAAAAATCCTAGTAAAAGTGTTAATTGATACAACATCTAAATATAATACTATTAGCAAACACTTATTCAATAAGCTTGAATCTAATCACGGATTAGAAGGTATAGTTGGTGATGATCTGATAGGCGAAGAAATAAAAGGCTTAGATTTACAGTTTCGCATTAAAAGAAAGTGGCAAAGTTTAGGTGATACTGAACTAATAGACTTTCAAATTTACAAAAATCCATCATTCGATCAGGTGTTGGGGCAAGATTGGTTATGGATGTGTGAAGCAAAAATAAACTTTGGACATTCTCCCAAAACCTGTGTCCGCCATGCTAAAATTGTAATCGATGGTATGAGTATCCCATTAATTGAAGAAAATAGTAATAAAGCCAGCTCTAGTAAAAATAACTTATCTCATTCAGAAACAGAAATCGATAAACCTGATCTTAATTTAGAAAAGTTTATAGATATGTTTAAGAAATTATCTATAGAGACTAATTTATTCAGTTCTGATTCAGAATCCACGGGTTCAGACTGGTATGATCTTGATCTAAAAAAACCCTAAAAGAAACGCATCTATATTACAAAGAAAAAGGTTATCTCTCCTAGCCGAAAACATCGTAGAAATAAGCCAGTTAAAACTAAGTAATCTTTAATCCAGAAAATTATTATGGGTGGAATCAACATAGAAGTATTTCAGAAAAATGACATATTACTGCGCTATATTACTGCATTACAGGCCCGAAGGGGCGACCCTAAAGGGTCAAAATCACGTAAAAATAAAACATGAGAAGGCTACAGAACCCTCCTTCTTTATTTAATAAATTTTTTTTTTGCCAGAATGGGAACATACAAATAAAATAATACAAATACAAATAAAAAATCAAAAGCCATAGAAACTATGAGGTTTTATTACTTTTGAAAATATTATAGGATTGATACCTGGATAATTAAATAGAATTTGATAATCAAGAATTATGCCCACACCAGATAGCTTTTTTTGATTGCTTTCTGGATTGGAGTCATTAGTCTTGGGGGCATTACTATCATTGGTCTTGGAAGTAGTGTTATTATTGGTCTTGGAGGTATTGTTTGTCTTGGAGGTAGTACTATCGTTAATGCTCATTTTTCGTACCTAAATACAAAAAAAAAGTAAGCAAAAATTTGTTTTCATAGTCTCTGTTAAATGAAATATCAAATTACTTAAAAAATAAATTATGGGCGAGTGAACCAAGTAAATATATATATAAGCAAAAAGTAACGTTATTGCTAACTTATCTTACGGGTGGGAACTTGCTTATTTTATACTATTCATTCGTTAGATCTTAGAACCTACCAGAAAAAAAGTACACGATTAGTAAGTAAATAACAGAATAAAGCAGAATAAAGCAACTCCGCTCGGTTATAAGTTCCAAACACTGATCTATTTTGTCAACGATCAGTACTATGAAGTGAAAAAAGTCAACGATCTGTGAAATTTCAAATCCCTATAACATATGAATTTTGATAAAACTACTGATTAAGAACATTATACATATTACCCTTATAGCCTTTTTAGCTTCAAAGAAGTGCCCCTCTAAGGCAAGTCTCATTCTTATCGCGAGATCGTATAAAGTAAGGCTTTTTAGATATTGTATTTATTATAAATCAACCATGAGAATTAATTCTGTAGAAATGTGGTACAAACTATTCAAGTAACTTGTATCACAAACTTTATTTTTTATGCAATATCTTAATACTATAACAGTACAATTTATTTTTATACATAAAATCGCATATTGGGCAAATATCCACACGATGTTTTATACATAGCCGAATCAACTATCATAGGATGTAGGAATATTTATAGCTTAGGGGCCCCTAAAAACAAATATGAGGCTAATTCTCTTCATTTATATTTTCTATACAGGAAGGTTGGCTACCTCCAATATCGGGCATACTAATATCACTATCATTTTGTGATGTAGATATATTAGAGGTTGAGGTAGTATTTGCCAAATTAGATAAAGATAAGTATGTCGCATTATCTAAATTTCTACCTACATCATTAGTGTTATAGCCTGAATTCCCATCCGCATCATTTATATTACTTACATTATCTTGATTAGTAGTTTCGTCTCTTCTGGTGGGATTTCTCTGGGTCGGGAATGCAGATCGATCCCTTTGACCGGTGGGAGATTCACGGCGACTCATATTTAGCATTAATGAAACTTCTTCGTAGGTTGGTAGTGGAGTGCGGTTTTGCCGTCTTTCTTCTCTTCTTTTTGAGGATGCGTTTATGTTATATATCTGATCAAACTGTGTTTCTAGATTTTTTTATACATAATTAACAAATTAATAATTTGTTTCTATTTCAAAGACATCTACAGCAAAGGCGGACAAATGTTTGAGATTAATGTAGAACCTTACCTGGTCTCTCCCAAAAATGTGAACAGAATTCCTCAAAGTATTGTACTCCGGTTCTGGTTCTATGCCCTGCACGATTTTCTGCCATATATTGGCACATCAACTAAAAAAGATCAAGAAAATCGTTAGGTTATAACCTAATTATAGTTCAATCTGTCAATAAGTGCCTTTGGTAAAAATACTTACAGTGTGATCTCTTACAAGATTTTGAAATTTACCTTTGCATTGATATCCCGTATAGTTGGTACTAAATCTCTCATTAATTATATTCGCAATATTATTCCAAAAACTCACCCTACTACTTCCAAGAATATCGTGATACTCGGCATTTCTATTTTTTCTTTCAGCAATTAATAAGTGCAATTGATCGTTGGTCCACATCACTAAGATTCTAAGGTGACTCAACAGAATACACCTGTTTTTTATAGAATTATATAGAAAAAAAATACTGCAACTCAACCGCGACTCAACAGTGATTAGTATCATTAGCTGACACAACCAAATTAATCGTCAGATAATCACGGTATAGCATCCTAAAGAAGTATGATTTTTATCACATCTCGGACCAGGTGATCCAAAATAAAAAATTTTATATGGAATAGAAATCGAAAGGGAGAAGTAAGTGGTTAGAATTACATTAAAAATTTATTAATATACACACATTAAACAATAATCCAAAGGGTTAAGTCTTCGATTTTCTGTAACATATAAAAATCAGATAAGTATAAAACTAATTTCAGATTTGGTGATCAATTCATTCACGAATTAATTAGTATGAGCCGGAGGTTGCTCAATCTTCTGTTGCTTTTGATTTTATAGGCTTCTTCGATTTTCTTCTTTGGTATGGCATGTGATATGTATTATGAAGTAATGGCACTTACATGCCTAATTGAACATCTGTATTACGCTTGATTTTATTACTAGTGTTACAGCTTTGGGTGAGCAAATATTTGTTTATTATTTACAGGAGAGTAACATTAACGTTATGTGTGTTCTATGTTACATATACGTTCAAAAAAGACTTGTCTCCTTTACTTCGGCAAGACTTATCCTTTAAATA